CGGCCTACAAGCTTCAGCCGTCCCGAGATCTCCCGAATCTAGCCCGCCACCTCCCACGACCAATTGCCGTGGTCGGGAGTCGTGTAAGCCGGTTCGTTTCTCCGACTATGTACAGTGTAAGGAGGTTTAGCTTTGTAGATGTTGTATATATTTGCCCCGATTTTGGTCGATTAACGTTTTAAAAACAAACAGAAATATCAAAAACCTCCGAAAAACCTTTAAAAATATTCAAAAACCGAAAAGTCTAAACGCGCAGATCATTCGTTCATTCTTTTTGGCGATTTCTGCGCGTGTTCTTTTTTATTCTCTCGTCTCTACACCTCCAAACCCTCCCCATCGGTCGACTGGCCCACACGAGCACTGTTTTCTAGGAGCTTGACACCAACGCTGGTCGTTTCTCCGCGGGACGGGTGTCATTTCTTCGTGGGACGATGGTCGTTTCGTCGCGGGAGGTGGGTCGTTTTGGCGCGGAGCGGGGTGCGGCGGGGGTAGAGACCACTCCCAAGCGCACCGTTTGGTAGCAGCGGAGGTTGAGTTTCGGTCGGCCTTTTTCTGGACTAGCCAGTTTTTTGTAGTATGACAAGCCCGCTCCAACAGCTCGCCGAAATGCACCCTACCCTGCAATCAGTAAATAATAAAGACCGGAGGGCACAACGGATCTTAACTGTCGGCTACATTTATCTCCGAACACGAACAGACACTTCTTTGCATACGAAAACCTTTTGCGAACTTCGATTCAAGACCAAGTTTGATTTCGAAGGCTTCTTGGTTCAGCCTTCTAGGAGGGGAGCTCTGTAGCAACCCAAAATATATGTCTTATCTTGGTAGACTTTTGTTACTCAATCATACAATATTGGTTTTTGTTTTAATGCCGACTCTACGGCCATTCTTACCTACATCCGGCTCACCACTTTTCTCCACCGTGAGTTCCGACACTGACGTACTCTCTCGTCGCTTCATCCGTTTTTCGTTCGATTGTAGTCTTTCTCGAATACAATCCGTTTTGTCCGTTCTTCTGATTTCCTGGTATCCCTACCAGAGCGAGAACACTCTCGGACTAGTTTAGACTAGTCCTACAGAATTCAGCACCGGACCGCTACGCAAATCCTAACAGGGGAGAAGCACTATTACCACAAAATGTAACCCACACATGTGCATCGGATGCTAACTCACAAGGAGAGACCATAAAACCAAAGGTATGGAGAAAACTGTTCTTTAACCGGAAGGTTCAGTCAGAGACGAACAAGTTGGTGCACAGGTTAAGATTTATACCCCGAATAATGCATCACGCAAGGCCCAGGATTGACTATCCAATAAGACACAATGAATCCTGTTTTGTTGTAGAGGGGAACGCCGCACACACGTAGTTCTGAGTGAACTTTTGAGCTTCCCGTGGCAAAGGTGAATTTATACTCTCCAAGTCAGAAACCCGATGGTGGGCGATGTCAATTCTACAACATTCGCTTTTCCAATCGCTCTCAGAGTTTCAATCTTCAACTAGTTTCTATTTTCTATGCACGTTCCCCGCAGAGAAAACCGGAGTGCAGTTCCAAACAAGGAGACAAGTGCTGTCCGAATTTACCTTCGCCATCAAGTCAACAAGCTTTACAATGGGATCCTATCACGAAGGGGAGAGATTCTGGGTAACTTTGCAATAAAACAATCAAACGCTATTTAAGCCGACATTCAAGAGGAAACCAGGTGTACAGTTTAAACTCAGAGTACCAACAAGAAGAGAAACGGTGGTAGAACAATCGAATAATTGTTTCCTATGGGCAAACAGAACCTAAAGCATAACCAGTCCCGTAAGACAGTCATGGTAATTATTTCGAACTATGGAATACTTTTCAGCGAGAAGGAAGTTCACACAGGTGGATTCACCAAGTTATGCGCAAATCTACTGTAATTTCACGAGGGTTTAAGAAAAGGGGACGTTTGTGTAGGTCATGTTACCTCTTACTGGAAAAGTTGTAACCTATTATGGGCTGATCGACAGTGAGCCATGAGCCATTTTAGATGGTGCGGCGAAATGTTCAACTGGAGGTTTCAACTCTACAAGCGTGGGAGCACAGATGACAAATTTCGGAAGGGCATTTCACACTTACAAAGCATGCAGGTAAAAGAGATTTTGACGACATTCCAAACGGCTATGTTGCTGTGCTAGGTTTGGATGGAGGCCTCTCAGCTCACTGTTGTGACTGAGCTCCGGCAAATGGTGTCACGTGTGCTTCAGGTCCCTCAAACTCTGCTAAGTAACTATAAGCTCCTCACGAAATCGCCAGTAGCGTCCGCTGAAGACAACCCAGAGCACTACGAGCGTTTGTTCACACGGCAAATCGCACAAGCCAGTGACATCCTTTATTGCATGGCAACGAGGTATCTTCAAGGCAACGAGATCTCTCCTCAGCCAGACCTGTCTTGCATAGTTCACGTGCGGAAGCATGTATGTAGGAAAAAGTCCATGAAAAATTGACGAGGCGATTCGTCCAAATGCATGTCGCAGAAGACCCACGTCCTAAATGCTCATTCTTTATGCCTCATTAGCTTGATCTGAACAGTTAAGGTCGGCTTCAATTAGAAAGCTCAGGTAATCGTTACGGATAGATTTTCGTACTTCCTGGTTGCCCAAATTAATAGCGGCACGCTGGCTGGTGCCGTACGCGCAGTACTCTAGATATATCAGCACCAAATCGAGACAGGATCTGGATTGACCATCTTTAAACCCTATCCAGATCGGCACGAAGTGGTGTTGGATCATCTGGTGTGTTGATTGGCCTCCAACATTGGACGGCCTAGACAGAAATTAGATAACACGAACTTACGAAGCATGGTATGTCATTGATATTCATTAAAAACAACGGTGGTTTCAGTATCGGACAATTTGGCGCTTCACATCAGACTTGGATGAGATCTGGTAGGCATTCAACCACCCTTACCCCTAAACGCAGGTGACAGGATACGATGCTGATTCACCCTAAAAGGGGATCGCCAATGCCGAAACTCTGGAGTTTGAACAAAAGGATTAGGTGGTCTGGAGGTCTAATGCCTTAGGGAGGACGAGATAAGATACATCAACTCCTTCACCAGTGTCTACTGCTTCGACCCAGCTAGCTCGTGCTAGCAATAAATTGGTACTGCACAATCGATTTTGTCGGAAGCGGTGTCGTTCACGCGGAAAGTATACAAATTCTGCCAGGTAGATCGTTAGCCCATCGGCAGCAATGGCTTCCATGACTTTTGAAAGCAGTAGCATTAGTGTCACAGTGCTGTAGTTAACTGAATCGGAATGATTACTTCCCTTGTGTATTGGAGGTATCCTCATATGTCGGGTACACACCTTTCGCCAAAAAGGCGGTGAAAAAATTAACTCAAACATTCAGACTTGCTGTCTTCTAAAACCGCAAGTGTGTTAGGGTGCATATTATCCACCCCCAAGTGAGCTGTGCTTATGCACACACAGCAATTCTTTTTATGCAGTTTGCGCTGTAGAGAATATATGGTTGAACTTTGGTGTCAAGACACGACTTTATACAGAAAGGTTGGAGAAAAATGCGACCAAAGATATACACCGCATCCTTCGTAGTCCATGTTTGTCCATCCGCTGTCTGAGGAGGAGGAGGAGAAGCAGGAAGTACTCACTTCATTTTATTTATGTAGCTCACATGTTGAAGTAGAAACTTGTAATTTGAAAGCATTCAATTTGACAGGCTCTGTTGGTGTGCTATTTGGCCATTGCTGACAACTTGAATGCAGTGGTTATGTTGAGTCAGATAAGTCCACCCAAGTCTGAGTGCTCGGAGAGAGCCTATAGATATGCCAGGTCGAGTTCTGCCAAGCTATGCACTTGCATGTCTTGCCTCACACAAACGAGATCACGTTTCTTCAGTGGCCCGTCTGATTTTTCGAAGTTGCAGGCACCAACGTGTTAAACTGCCTGATAAACTGTTGTCATGCGCTAACCGACGCTTCGCCTGACTGAAAGGTTCAGTTGATTGCCTCACCTAATCGAGCAAATGCCTTCTAACGTGTCATACTTTGCGTTGCTTTTGTAATGTCTGCAGGATATTCTGTATACCACATGTATCCGGTGACTAAGACTGCGTGCTCACTGCGACACAGAAGGACATCGACGATCACCCTCACTATCATGAGTTCTTCGTTCGGGAATATCCGTTCCAGTATAGGCAGCCTATCTGACCCTTCTAATATAGAGCGGAAAACTGAAGACAAGCGCTTGCAGATCCGCTTTGAATTGTTTTCTAGGAGTGGCTTGAGATTCAAGAAAATGGATGTTGAAATCGACAGTGATAAGAGTGTGGATGTACATCAAACGAGCTTTCAAAAACGCTCCTGAAATGATGACTTCCAGATCGGTTCATACGTATCCCAAGCTATCAAATGTGTCTATACTGCTTTATCTCCAGTTTCTGCGCGGATGACAAATTGAAGTTTATCTCGAGCATGGAAGATGGAATATAGTAAACAACAGTCACCATGCACTGTCGCAGGAGAGCAAGGTTATGTGTGTATCTAAATTACACTTGCTTACAATGAGGGGAGCAACCGAAGTTGTATGTCCCTATCCAAATCAAATCGTGGGTGTTTCAAAACTAGACAATGAGTTTTTAGCAGCACTGAGAACCGGTTCGTGTGGAGTTGTTAGCTTGATGTTAAAATGACAGCAACTGATAATCACGTGAGTTCGAAATGGCGGCTCACTTCATATTGTAGCAGTTTATGAAGCCAAACAAGAACAATGGATTATACGAGTTCACTGGTCACGTGTGAGTTAACTTGTCTCAACGTATAACTTGAATTGTATAACAGCTAAATTAGCAGAGTCAAATTGATATGTCGATAGGTTCCCCGCCGATTATGCTCACGATCAGGTGCGGCGTACTAGGTCAGTTATCGATGTTAATCGAAATAGCAAGGCATTGTGAACTTCCTTGTGCTAATACTCTTGTTATAGTCTGGTACTTCAACACTCCGCCACTTACCTTTGAAGAAAACGAAAATTTTCTTCATGTCGATTCAAGCTCGATGACATCATGATCTGCTGAAACACCCGTCGGTCCAGCGTCCATGCAGAAGCCATGGTCACAGCTACATGTTTGTGAGAGGGTAGGCAGAGGAGATAAAGCTGTTACCGAAAAATTGAATGAGCAACAGGAGAGCTGTAAGTATGCAGTGAGTAAATGAATTCAACGTATTTAACACTATGCGCCTTATAAGAAGCTCATGAGAAAGTATATCGCAGGGCTTCAGGAGAGAGAGAAGTACAGTGGGTTCTCCCATCTGAAAGAGAGCTACTTCAGAGTCATCCTTCCATGATAGACACTGCAACAATCATCCACTGTCAGTTAGAATTAGGGTGGAGTTCAGATCGACCAACGGTAGATGCTGCGCAATTTTGTAAAATGTCGTAAGGATGCAACCAATACAATGCTCTAGGGGAAATAATTGTCCGCCGTAATTAATGCACTCGATCATTTCGAGAGCGAAGAGTATGGTCATTATGGTTTATGGCTTATGAGAGAGACGGCAACAGGGTTCTAAACACCAGATGTGTTCCACAGGTTTCGAAGAGAGTAATATATGGATTACTGATGATTGGACCTCGCTTAAGCGGAGCAAATAACATCGCTCGTAAGAGGTGGCCATGTTTTAGCCTCAGGACTCTAAGTTTACAAAGAGTTAAGGCATATAATAGGATGTGAATAGCCAGCTTGCGTTCAAACCTTAGAAAAGGCTGATGTGGAAGGAAGCATTTACATCTACACCGGCCCACCTTTGCTGCCTCAACATATGACGGAGGATTTGAAATATCCCCAATGCGAGGTAGCTGAGACTATCAGCGTGAATCCTCCAGGAAACTCTATGTGGATAGACAAAATTGTCTGTTCACAATCAGATTCCAAGCATTCTCTTGATGTTGAGGTTTGTTCTCCTGCTCCTTGTGATGCGACTGCCCAGCAGTCTGACGGCAATGTCCCAGTGGCCAGGTGAACGGGACTGTTTTTTGCAGAAAGTGATCGAGCTAATTGGGTGCCAGGTGCACGACCTTTACGGTTTCTTCCTGTGGTATTTTACATCAACCCTTTTTGGGTACCGTGACATTAGCCCTACATTCCAACCGTTAGGAACGGTTTATGAGACTAAGCGATTTCAACAAATACTCATGCAGTGTGCACACGATTGACTGAGTAACCATAGAGTGGACCTGGTTTCTACATGCATCCAGTGTCCAATAATGGACTCACACAGAATATTTTTACTGGTGGAGTGGTTATATCAAAAGCCCAAGACTGGCATCGAGACATCTGATGGAATGAAGCAGATAGATTTGTTTGGAAAGTTAACTAGACGCACGCACACACACACACACACAAGCAAACGGAAAGTGTGGTCGACAATCTTGGCCTACCTTTGACTGATGCCGTGCGATTGCAGTTGTAGAGGAGGGCAAGTTCACCGAACGCCCTCCCGACATCCATGTGGCCGAGGAGCTGGTCGTCTTTGGACACTTCCAAAACTCCATCTGACAAATGAAGTACAATGAGTGAAATATGTTGATGACAAGCTTAACCAGTTATGTGTGGAAATAAGTTAATCCACGGAACATCGAATGTTCGGTCAGTGGTTGTTAGCTTCATAGATTGGTGATGCTTAATCACAACAGAAAATGATCGATCGAGCGAAATAATCATTCCAGTGACAAAAGTGGTCATTTGTAATACATGAGAGACTACAAACAAGTGTTGAGAATTAGGACAGACAGAGGAAGAGAGAGGAAGCCGCACTGGTAGACTATATTTGTAGAAGAACAGAGCAGGTATGTGCGGAAAATTTTACTCTGCACTAAGTTTTCCGGATGTCGTGATATTCCTAAAAATCAAAACTTAAGTTTGCTGGTTTTCACTACCTAGGATTTGTGAACGCCCCCGTGCCACACACACGAATAACTGCATGATGATACGCATCCACTAACTGCTTAAATGAGTCATCTTACTTTCGTGGCAGAGAATAGACCGCGTTATCCGGTAGCGAGTTTTGATTACCTCAGCGGTCAAACCCACTTGCTGAACAACTGAAGCAAGTTAGTAGTTTGGAAAATTAATTTGAGGTACACGTTGTGTGGATGGATTGCGACGCGCAATCTCAAAGTGGATTGCGATCCCCATTGAAATGAACCTTGGCCATTAGGGCGGGCAACACCCAATTTGCTGCTGCTTCATCAGCTACGGTCCTAGTGATCGAATGGCCAAGGTTCACTTCAATGGGGATCGCGGTCCACTTTGAGATTGCGCGTCGCAATCCATCCACACAACGTGTACCTCAAATTGACTTTCCAATCTGTCATTAACCGTTGTGCCAAGCTTTGCCCGTCCTGACCCGGTGGCTTAGGGCTGGCGGTCAAAACTAACATCCCAATGGTCCATGGTTCGATACCTGCCATCTCTATCTGATGAGAGGAAATAACCTCAAAACGCGTCATGGAGTGCAGTGGTTTCAGGCGGGCAACACGCAAGTTAGTAGTTCTTAGGCAAAAGGTATTCATCGCATTACGCTGTGGCGCCAAGTAATCAGTAGAAAAGAGCGATGTACCCTGAGTTGGTTCACCGTCAAGATTTGTATAAGTTTGTTTGATAACCAAACCGGCAGTGGCTCTATTTGTATATCCGTTAAACCGTTAGCTTTAACCAGTAAAGTTCAATAAAACATCAATAATTCCCTAGCCTACGCTCCAAGTACCGTCTTCGTGACTGTACGGTGTGAATGAGGAAACCGAAACATAACCACTAAGGGTTGCTAATCAGGACGCGTTGAGAAGATAAGTAAGCAGCGCTGTTCACGCGATAAATACCTAAAAACTCCCCACATGATAAAAATGTCGTAGACGGTCTTCTCTGTGGAATGAACACAAGGAGACTAGAAGACACGAAAGAAGAGACTTTAATCGATTGGTTGCCTTGGGTAATATGCTTTGAGCTAATATGAATAACGTTACATATTTGAATGCTAGATTTTCGGGGTACCCGCCGTGTATCCTGGATAGCGACACGCGAACTCAATTTTGGCATCGTTTGACATTAAAGTCAGTGGGACGGCATCCAAATTGGTGCATTTCGGTGTTTCTTTCTCCCATCACTATGTATTGTAGTGTTTGGAACAAGCCCATGAACGAGTTTTGAGGCAGCGATTGTGGATGTATTCACTGGACATATAAGCAATGCACGAGGGAAGCAGAGTAACATAGCCGTCTTTGTTGTTACCAACTTCTTACCTACCTATCTGGTTGAAAGATGGATTGGCTGCAGTTAACAACTACGCTTTGTATCATAACACGACGGTGATAACTAGATGCTCCGCATAGACAAAGCCACAACAGTTGCAGTCAACTGTAGATAGATAGAACTTTATATGTATGTACGGGGCATTTATAACTAAATGATCTAGACCGATCAAACCAAACAACCTGTGTATATGAATGTGGCAAATGACACAAACTATTGTAGTTCGGCCGTTATATGATAAATTGCTTTTCATAATATCCTGGGCACACCGAATGGAAGTTCACAATTTTTGTACTTGCGAAAACAAGACGAATTCAGGTCGTCGTTCATATCATAGTAGTAGGTAAAAGTCTATTGTGTAGTCACCTCGGTTGATACCATGAGTCCTCTTAGGATAAAATTTAGGTACATTCGATTACCAGAGATGTGATGGAAGTGGTCGTCGCTGAGGCTTTAATGGACTACCTGGAAAAACGCAACATCTTGGCACCGGAGCAGCATGGCTTCCGTCAAGACCGATCATGCACCACCAACTTACTGATTGCACCAGGTAGTTAGACGGAAGTGACTGATGATGGGGTGGAAGTTGACGTCATCTCTCTGGATTTCTCCAAAGCTTTCGACCACCTTGATCACCGCATCCTACTTCAACAGCAACAGAGCTACGGAATCGGAGATCCTGTGCTTGGTTGGATTGGCAACTTTCTTCATCAATGGAAGCTTCAAGTACGCGTTAGGAGATCAGTCTCTAACCTGATTGAGATGGAACGTGGTGTCTTACACGGCTCAGTGCTGGGATCGCGCTAATTCCTGGTGTTTATCAACGACCTGGCATCAGTTATCTCCTCAAATTTCCTGCTTCTTCGCCGATGATATCAAGATATGGCGGGCGATTAGTAACAATGAAGATCACGATCTACTCCAATATGATCAAGATTGCATTTATGAATGGTCAACGAGGAACCTGCTTCAGTTGAACATAGCTAATTGCAAATTGATCCACCTGCGTCACCAGTCGATGAGCGCTTACAAGTTTGGAGACCACCGCTTACAGAAGGCCTCTCAGGAGCGTGACCTGGGTGTATTGGTACAGGAAGATCTCGGGTGTTCAAAAAAGCAGAGAAGTCGACGAGAACCGGCAATCAACACTTCGGCCTGCTTCGCAGAGCCTTCGATCGGTATGAACCCACAATCTTTCCCCAAATGCTTAAGGCCTACGTGTGACCGCACGTGGAATATGATATTCAGGGGTGGCAGCTGTGGCAGAAACAGGATCTCGTTGCTCTTGAGACTCCTCAACAAATGGCAACCAAGAACGTCAGGGGTCTCTTTCATCTGCCCTATTAGCTTAGACTGAAATTTCTAAGAATGTACAGCAGCCGATTTCGGCTTTTGTGGAGGGACTTCATAATGGTTTACCAGATTCCGAAGAACCCAAACCACATTTGCCGTCCGCTGCTGGCATTGACCAACAACACTAAACATAGAGGTCGTCCTCTGAAACTGATAATACAATATAGCCGGCTTGAATGTCGTAGAAATTTCTTTTCTCTCTGAGTGTACCAACCTCGGAACGCCCTCCCTAATTATTTCGTCTCTGCTCCCAATCTGGCGATATTTAAAAAACGAATTGACGACACATGGTCTAATTTGCATTTCCCTTTATGACTTGTCAGCCAGGGGCTACAAAACGCAACCAAACGGTGTCTTACCAAACTCCCAACCAATGGGTTTATGGATGTATACTTTTGATACGCGCAATTCTCCGTTATTCTACATAACCAAAATAGCGAAATAGCTCACAAGATGCGCTTTGGTTCTGTGCTGCGTGTTCGACCATCCCACTAGTTAAGTGCTTGTTTAGCCTAGTCCAGTAGTGCGAGCGGTTAACCGCAGAAGCCGAGTAGAGGATAAACGGTAAGATTAATTCAATGGAAGCGAGTATTAACAACGGAAGCGTAGCGGCCTCTAAGCAATGGAATGCTGCACAATCCGCTTCCCCTGAACCGCAATCAGCCACTTCCCCATCTCCAGTGTCTTTCCAACTTTGGCAGAATGCCGGGCGAAAACTGACCATACCTACGAGAGTCAAACAGTACGCATGGCGACGAAAATCAGACACCATTCGAAACTTCTGGTTAAGCAAATTACACTAGACCTGACATCTAGCACAAAGAAAGATGAAGCAACCGGACACCAACCCTCTGTACTTTAGCACGAATGCCTTTGGTTGAGACAAAGTCCCCCGAAACATCGGTTACATATGCAGAGATTGCTGCAATGGTCAGTCGGGAACCGCTGTTGCGGCCCATTCTGTTGTATACACCGGTATACACCGGTTAACAGACGGCCAAACTGCAAACAATCAGCAGTTGTCAGTAGGTCAAGACAAACGTTTACCCTACCTTGTATATTAACCAAAAAGGGATCCCACAACAGTGTCCGGACTGTTGTATGCTCAAATTTCCCTGAAAATACCGCCATCACATTGCGGAATAAGTTATCGTACAACAAAGACCAATGGAGCTCATCGTTCGTGCTAATGAGTGGCAAAGCCAAACCCATAAACCTAGTACGGATTACGTGTCATCAGAACTCGTCACACTATGGAGAACCCAGACTTATTCGAGCAACACTGGGATCCTCCAACGGTGTATAAAACGTTGTACTCTCCGCAAGCGTGCTAAAACACGGATCCTATGGGATACGCATCTAATCTGATGTCCCTTGGAGCGCGCTACAATTAACAAAAAATACGCTGAAGAAGCACACAGCAAGTAAGACCGCCTAAACCCTATCATCTTACCTGGCGTACCAGAGCATCTTTCTAACTAGTTTCCAGGGGCGAGAAATCACGAATAAGAACAGTGGCAGTTTATTCGTGAAACACTTTCTTTGGATAATAGTGTGGCACTATCACTCAGCAGAATAAGTCTCTTGCAAAATTATAAAGCATGTGGCTCTAGAACCCGAAAACGTGTGGTTCAGTCAGAGCAATAAGCAACGGAAGTTTTGGACCGATAGCAAAGAAATCGGAAAATCCTTCATTCTGAAATTCGGTTAAAGTTCGCAGAAGCATTTCAAATTTCAACTATCAATGCATCTGAAGTAAAAGGCGTACCGACAATGACACAGGAACTCCACTTGACCGCTGCTTTACTCGTTCCGATGTAGATCTAAACGAAGATTTGTACGCACCTTGGCCTAATCAATTTCCAGACGAGGTATAATTATCCCGTCAAAC